ATCTGCTAATGTTGAAGGTTATTTTCTAATTACTGGAAATTATCTAAAAGTTTATCTTAAAAAAAAAAAAAAAAAAAAATGGTCTCTGCAGTAGAAAGTTTGTAATCCCCTCTCCAGGTGGCCGTAAAGGGTAGCTCCACTTTCGTGGAGAAAAAATATCAAATTAGCAAAGAAATATAGAGAGTATACAGTTGCGACACAAGTCATATTATAATTGAATGTTGTTAAAAATTACCTTTCTTTTTCAATCTGCAGTGCTGTAATTTTCTGTAAAATGTAATGCAATATGGCAGCCTGGAGGTGTTCTGTACACAGATGGTGTACAGTACACCCCTAAGAAATGTAATTTTCTGCTTGTGTGATTGGCTTATAATTTTCCCAGAAGTTTGCACTAAGATACAAGTTGGAGTTTGGACATCCCCTGCAACAAAAATATCATTTTTTGGTGAGATACTCCCAGAGGGAAATCCGTGTCTAAAGAGATGCAGATCTTGCCACTTTCCTCTTTAGAGCCCTGCAGGTGCATCAGCTGATTGCTAATTATAAAACCATTCCCGTACAGAATCACTATGCAAATGACAAACAAAAAGCTATTTTCTTCAGAATAAAAAAAGGTAGGAATCTGCAAAAAAGTTTGTTTAAAATCATTGCAATATACATAGATCAACCAGAGGGAATGCGTTTTTTTTTTTGTTTTGTTAAATGCTTACCATAATTTTTCTTTCCTGATGGACTCCATGGCAGCAGGAGTACCCTCCCAATGCCATGAGTAGGCTAGTTATGGAACACGGTCTCTGGTGAGGAGCAAAGATTTATGGGAGTGGGGTCCTATAGGAGAAGAGAGGGTGGGACTAACCCATACGTATGCTGCCATGGAGTCCATCAGGAAACAAAAATTGCGGAAAGTATTTGATAGGAAATTTTTAGTTTTCTTCAGTCCTCTCTTCTGTTGAAACTCCAGAATTTATAAAGCTGGTCTGAGAGTTCAGAAAACAGAGGACGGCGAGCTGAAATGACACACTGCAGAGCTCAGTAAGGAGAACTCTGAGAGTTGATTGGAGGGAAGGGACCCCCTTTTACATAGCACACAGGAACAGAGCCAAGGATGTCAATCAGAGGCTATGCCCTTCCCTGTCACCTTTTTTTTTCTCTTGGTGTCAGGTAAACTTGTCAGAAGTGATTCATGCTAATAGCAGAGGAACAAACAATGCAACAGACAGAAATTACACTTGCTTTGTTAATATTTCATGTCTGAGGTTTACAACCTCTTTAACTAGTTGCCGACCGCAGATAGCCGAATGACGGCTTCACTGCGGCCGGCCAGTTCTGGGTGGACGTCATATGACGTCCCCCCAGAACGCGCTGGGGCGCGCACCCGCCGATCTCCGTGATCGCTGTGTCCTACGGACACAGCTGATCACGTGATGTGGTAAAAGGCCGATCCCAGCGGCCTTTTACCACGTGATCAGCGGTGTCCAATGACACGCTGATCACAGGGAAATGCAAGTGCCGGTTCTCGGCTGCACTTTCCTCACTCTGTCAGATCGTGAGGAAAGTACTGCCGAGAACCGGCAGTTGTCACAGCGGGGATCGGCACCGATCATCAGGACACTGATGATCAGTGCCCTGATGATCGGTGCCCAGCAGTGCCACCTTCAAGTTCCGCCCACCTGTGCCCAGCAGTGCGCCCACTAGCTCCGCCCACCTGTGCCCAGCAGATCACCCACCTGTGCCCAGCAGTGCACCCACCTGTGCCACTCTGCAGTGTCACACACCTGTGCCCAGAAGTGCCACCTACCTGTGCCCAGAAGTGCCACCCACCTGTGCCCACCTGTGCCCACCCACCTGTGTTCACCCACCAGTGCTGCCCACCAGTGCAGCCCAGCAGTGCTGCCAGTCAGTGCCACCAGTCAGTGCCCAGGGGTTGTGCCAGTCAGTGCCGCCAGTCAGTGCCCAGCAGTGATGCCAGTCAGTGCCGTCTATCAGTACCCATCATCAGTGTCGCCTATCAGTGCTGCATATTAGTGCCGCCTATCTGTGCCACCTCATTAGTATTGCCTATCAGTGCCCTTTATTGCTGCCTCAGTGCCCATCAGTGCCCATCAGTGCTGCCTCATCAACGCACATCAGTGAAGGAGAAAAAATACCTGTTTGAAAAATTTTATAATAGAAACAAAGAAAAAAAAAATTTTTTTTTCAAATTTTTTGCACTTTTTTTATTTATAGCGCAAAAAGTAAAGTGCCCAGTGGCAATTAAATACCACCAAAAGAAAGCTCTATTTGTGAGAAAAAAATTATCAAAATTTCATATGGGTACAATGTTGCATGACCGCGCAATTGTCAATCAAAGTGCGGCAGCGCTGAAAGCTGAAAATTGGCCTGGTAAGTAAGGGGGTATAAGTGCCTGGTAGGCAAGTGGTTAAAGAGAACTAATGATGAATGGGCTTATGCAAAAATCTGAACATTCCACAGGCATACACATAAAAAAAAATTGATATTTGCCCCCTTATTTACTTTTTCAAGTTTACCTAGGCTGTCTGAGAGTGAATAAAAAAAGATGAGTCGCCTGAGAGGCCTTCTGAAGTCTGACAGCTACTGCTGCCTCAATTAATGCGTATAACATATACTGCCTTCCAGCTCCTAACAACAATAAGATTCTTAAATGCAGAACTTTGTTGCTGTTCACACTTTTTTTGTTACCAGGCCTTGTTATGTAGACTGTGTTTTAAGCATGGGGTTAAATAGACATTTTTCACCATGTTCCAGGAGCTGGAATTATCCTCAGAGTAAGTCCAGCCTAATGAAGGGCAACTTTAAATTTTTCATCTATAAGACTGCACATTATGATAATTCAAGGAATAATATCCAGATTCCTAAATAAAGCTGGTCGTAGATGGATAGAATTTCGACCAGTTAACAGGATCTGGCCAAATTTTGATTCCTGTGTGGCTGTCTTCCTTTGTGTGATTTTCCTGGTGTTCCTGCCAGTCCATCTGCTTTCCTATTAAAAACTGACCACACTAAGCAGCAGCTGTGCTGGGAACACACCAAAAGCCTTTTTTTTATTTTTTTTTTTTTTTATATCTATACACAAATGTTTCGCCTTTCTATTTTAAACGGAATGGGTTGTTTTGCAAGGTGAGGGTTTACATATACATTAAATGATTCCAGTTTTGAAGGGGACAACCTGACTGGCCTGTATTGTTTTCTTTTAAGACAATTAATATGGTTTTTTATTTTATTTTTTGCTTGCCCTTTTGTGGCACTGCTTTGGGACATCCCAGTAGGCAATGATCTGAAGCAGAACTGTGTTCTCCAATGAATGATTTTGAAAGTAGGAATGTTTGCACTCACTGTAAAATACTTTTCTCTGCGTTCATTGGGGTAACAGCACCCTACCCTCTGGTCATAATGCTGTTTGTGTGTTTTAAATATTTTGTTTTTTGCACTGCTGTGTGATTTAACTACGTTTTGTTCTAGAGATGCTCCAAAATTTCGGCCACCGAAACATATCAGCCGAAAATGCCAATAGGAAAAATTTAGCTGATACAGGTGTCAATACAGGATACTGTGTGTACTGCAGATGTAAGGGGGGGGGGGAGAGATGGCTGAGAAAGGCAAGAGAGGAGCAGTGTATACAGTGACTGGCTGTCACTATGGGGTTTATTTACTAAAGCTGGAGAGTCCAAAATCAGACTCCCTTCTGCATAGAAACCAATCAGCTTCCAGGTTTCATTGCCAAAGCTTCATTGAACAAGCTGAGGTTAGAAGCTGATTGGTTTCTATGCAGAAGGGAGTCTGATTTTGGACTCTCCAGCTTTAGTAAATAAACCCCTATATGTCAGTGCTGGTTTTTAAATGCAATTTCCGGCTAGATTCTTCCTCTTCACTATAGCTCACAGAATTAGCTGTCACTTTCCCCCAAGCTAAAATAAACAGTTTCCTTTTAGTTTCTATCTGCAGAAAAAAGAAACAAAGTTTCCTTTAGCTCCGGAGAAAGTGACAGCTGATTCTGTGATCTATAGCGAAGAGAAAAAAAAAAAAAGCCGGCAATTGCATTTAAAAACCGGCATTGACATAGTGACAGCCAGTGAGGGAGCCCCTCTGTATACACTGCTCCCTCATTGTATATGCTGCTCCTCTCCTGCCCCCCCCCCCTTGCACACACTGCCCCCCACCCCCTACCCTCTACAAAGAGGACCTGTCACTCATATGCTATCACATAGGGGACTATTGATCGCCTATCTGATAGCAATAAAATCATAAATTAAAAAAATAAACAAAAATATCAATGAAAGTAGAAAAAAAATTTGGAGCCTCCCCACTCCCACATTTTTTTGGCCACATGCATTCTGAATTTTCGGTATCGGATTCGGCAACAAAATTTTCATTTCAGTGCACCACTAGTTTGTTCACAATGTGAAGGGGCCACTCCTGGGAAATATTTTGTTTTTTGAGTGGTACCTAGCCGCCTCCTTCTGCAGGTAGTATTATACCCAGTAGGGTGATGACTCAAACGCAGAGCGGTGTTCTACAATGAATGGAAAGAAAAGGATTTCTTCAAAAAGGATGTCAGCAGTGGCAGCGGCCATATTACAAAAAAATCTTTTGGTCAACTGTTTTTTTTTTTTCTTTTGAATGTGTACACATTTTTAAACTGATTTTTTTTTTTTTTTTTAATAATATTTAAAATTTCACTGGAATCAGCCATTAGTTTACTACCTGCTGGTTGCTAGGGTAAAGATGAAATGTTTGCAGCTTTCATATATAACTTGCTAAAAAATAAAGTTTGTCATTATCTTAATATAGTAAGGAAAAAAATCTATAAATTTTCTTTAAAATACAGCTCATGTGCATGTGTAGGGATTGATTTTATGCACAGGGTTGTTCAATGTCTGTGTTTTCCTATGTTTGACATTTATCCTTTGATGTGAAAATGGTGAAATATTAGCCGACATTTGTTACACCTATTTTTATAGCAGTGACTTCTCCTCCCACAGTAATCCTGATGGCTTAGTCATTGATCAGTTGACAATTGCGGATGTCAGATGTACAAAGGAAAACCATCCTTGTAGTAGTAGCCAGGAGGATGCATCCCAAGAGCAGTGTTCAGTTGCTGCATGCATCAAAAACACACAAGGCTCTTGCAGAGAAAAAAGGTGAGATATTTTATAGAACTGATATTTTTGGTCAGTAGGATTAGTTCTTAATTAATTTTAGGTTTTTTTGCAGAATTTATGGGAATAATAAAGTGTATATGAAATTTCTTGTAAAAAAAAAAAATCATTAAACAACATGCAATAGTGATATAAGGGAAAATGCTTTACTGAGGAAAATAATTAAGCACTACATCCCAGGCTATGGGTAGGGGGCAGAGACTCCTTGTGAAGATGGACAGCTTTGGTCAGTGTCACATACCCTAGCTGCTTTCATTCAGAATGGGCAGGACCGGGTGGAGGGAGGTTATGTAAAGAGCAGTCTGACCACATCTCTCCATCTCTGATTACATAGTTTGTCTGGCTGAAAAAAGTCCATCCAGTAGCAGCTTCTGTGCTGTCACTCAAACTGTGCAGGGCTGACGGGATGTTGGCAGCTGTTTTGACTGCAGTAGTACAGACACACACTCTTGTAACTTCAGACTAGAAGACAGATGCAAAATGATCACAATAGAATGGATCTGCTCCATCCATAGCCTGGTCAGATTGATAACGTCTGTCTGACAATTGTCCATGCCTGGGGTGTAAAAGGTGGACAAGGCTGAAATGTTCTGCCCAGGACAGGATCTTCTCTGCTTCACATTGCAGCAAAACTTCTGGTTCCTTCGGGATGGAAGATGTGGCATCGTCCAAATACATCTGGATTGGATGACCCTTCAGGCAAGAGGCTCAGAGGTGCAGGGGCAGCCACATTGTTTTATGTTTAAGAATTTGATCGGGAAAGGAAATTCCCTCCAACATTCAAGTCCCTTGCACCAACAGGGTGCCTAGAACTCCTCTTCAGCATGACAATATGAGATCGTTAGGATTTTCCAGAAGACAGGAAGAGAGCCAGGGTATCAAAATGGCAACTATGCCAGTGTGTACCCTTATGATTCACAGTATAGGATAGCACTGAAAGATGGGAAGCTTACCCATGATGTGCATTCTGACAGGTGGTTTACCGTAGAGCAAAGCACCATGTAGAATTTAGACTCAGGGCTGGATCTGCAGAGCAAGAACTACGCTGGAGCACACTGGAAGAAGTAAAACCTGGGAACTGGATCACACTGGAATGGATGTGAGTGAAGAGTTGGATCAGGACTCACCAAAGTTTGAAAATGGTCCCATGTGTGAGCAGGTGATGCTGGATACCCCAGGGTGCAGAGCCTAAGAGCCAGCAAGTTTTTACCAGGAACCCCCTAATGGTGGTTTGGGCTTAACTAGGAAGTAGATCTTGAGCAGGTATGTATACTGTTGGTAACAGTGGGGTGGAACAGGTCACAAACTAACAATCCAGAGATCAGGGCTGGCTGCGAACAAGGTTGTCAGGATACAAGCCACAGCCTCGGTCAACTAGTGTGACTAGGCCAGCCCAGTCACACTAGTGCAGCCTTTCTCAACCAGGGTGCCGCCAGAGGTCTTAAGGGGTGTTGTGGGGAGAATGGCTGTCACTTAAACCCCCGAGCTCCCGATCCCCAGCCGCACTGTACGTCGGCACTGGGAGCCGTCACACCACTAGGCAAAGGGAAGTCGAGTGTCTTCTGTGCTCTCTGCCTCCCCCTAGAGTGCAGTACCCAGCTGTGTGATGTAAGATACAAGGTACTGTAACTTTATAGGGCTGTATGTGTGTGTGTGTATTTTACTTTTAATCTTGACTCCCTAGTCCTGTCCTTTCGGAGCTGCTTTTTTAGGACAATCCATTCTCAGATCGCTTTTCAGAGGCATTTGACAGGTGGTAAAGAGGCAATATATTGCCTCCACCACCTGGTTTAACCCGTAAAAAAACGGCACCACCACACCACAACTGTGTGCAATGCGAACACAGTTGCGGGGTGGTTGTAGGTCATCCCCATTCACCTGGAGGTATACTTCCAGCTACCGCAACAGCATGTGTATACCCCCAGCTGCTGCTTCTGCAGCTAAGGGGGAGCAGTTGGGGGTGGTAAAAGCACCAACCTCACAGGTGAAGTGGCCCTTGGTTCACATCTGTGTGGCTGTGTGAAGGGCAGCACATTCATTTCAGTGGACTGCCTTACCCGCAGAAATGCAGGGAAAGTCGTCCCTGACCTTCGTTTTAAAATTGCACCACACCAAAAATGCCCCGCGTTTGCAAATGTATGGGGGTACCCCTATAGAACAGAGCATTTGTCTGTGTGTCAGGAATGAGTGCGATTTTGCGTGTGTTTCGTGACACACAGTAATGTGAACCAAGCCTTGGACAGGGGTGCCTCGTGACTGAAAATACTTTTCAAGGGCGCCCCAACTGGAGAAAGGTTGAGAAACACTGCACTAGTGGACCAAAATGCGGGTGCAGACTAGTCAGATGATCGACCCCCCCGGGGCGCACGTGTGCCACGGTCCAGACTATTGGTAGCTTGAGACACACCTTCAACGTCTCTAAGCAACAAAGGCAAAGATCTGTCAAGGCCAAACGTCCTGCCTGCTCTTTGTTCTTTGTTTACATGGTGCGGTGCCGATGCCCGCTTGCAATACTTTAGTATATGAGGAATAATATGAATTGTGACCACACTACATATTTGAGCATTATATACAGTTCTGATTATCGCTTTGCAGCATATTTATTAGGACAATGAGAAGGGGCAGGCTTAGCTCATTTTTGGTGGATGGTTTTTTAAGTAGTTTCTTTTTGCCTTATCACAATTTGTCACGTGGCTGATGAAGGGGTCCTGCAGGACTCTGAAATGTTGCTTTTGCTGTAACTACATGCTTGGTTATTAAAGCTTCGGACCCACATTGGAGACCCTCGTGTGCTGGTGACATTTTTCTTGGATCTCTCGGTTCCAGCCGATGGTTGCTGCAGCACCCGCTTATATACACAGCCATCTGTTAGCGCAGGAACATGTGCGTTGGGATTGTGCACTCAGGCTAAAAGCAGAAGTGGTGTTGGGCCATGGTGATTAAGTAGTACAGACACAAGCACAACCTGGTCTTCAGTACCATATAAATTAGACTCCCCAAGGACGTGACTGACTTGTCCTATGACAGAATGTTGTAGGGGTCTGGAGTGAAACTGTTCAAAAGCAACCTCTTCAAATAAGATTACCATCAACTCTAGGGCTTTTATGCAGAAGTGTACAGTTGGGTGACTCCTAGAGAATATGAATCTGGGAGTGGAGAGTTTTAATTTCTCTGGGAGAAGAAAAACTGTAGGTCTGGACCTAGAGATTTCGAGTCATTAGTTCCAATGCTGATCTCTGAGGGACCCAACTGAACCTCTGCAAGGTTTGGATAGCCAGGGCTACATTGTCCACCAAAGCCTTTTCTTCATCTTCCCTTGGCAGGAGGTCATCTAGATACCCCACAATAGGAAAGCCTTGAGAGCGAAGTAAGGCTAGTACTTGGTCTCGAACCTTAGTGAACACCTGAGATGCAGAAGATAGGTCAAAGTGCAGATAACCCACAACAAAGCATTGGAATTACTAAGGCACTGGAGAAATAAGAACATGCAGGTATGTGTGATGTCGACGTAGGCCAGAAAGTCTCCCAGATGAAAGTAGGCTATGATGGACCTGGTGGATTTCCATGCAGAATTTCTAGGGCAGAATGAAGACATTTACAGCCTAGAGGTACAGAATGGGGCTTAATCCCCTTTTGACTGGCAACTCTGAACAAGTTGGAGTAGAACCCTAGAAACGAAACTGTTCTGCCACAAGGACTTGAACAAAGACTGCTTATTCCAGGTGACCCACTAGGGTTGCATGCAGATCTTCTAATCTTGGAGAGCAAAATTCTAGCTTGGATTCCCTGTAAACCACCACATGCGCCCAAGAATTATAGATGTAAGTAGTCGGTGTCCTTAAAAGCTAACAGATGTCCCCTTAATTTGGAAAAGGGGGGTTCACCCTTATGCTGAAGAAAACTTGTCTCTGAAGGTTTTTGAAGCTTGAAATTCCATGGTTTGGGTCTGAACTTGTAGTTTGAGGCCATGGAGTAAAAAAAGAAAAAACAAACTGTTCTTGGCCTCCAGCTAGGAGTGAGCCTTCGCAGACTCGGCCTTAGGCTTTTTTGGCTGATGAAGATCCTTGATGAGAGCATATATGCCAGCCCATAACAGACATTATCTCCCAAAGGCCATGCAGATTAAGGCTCTGCAGTCCAACAATTTAGCATCATCCTCATGTTTGCTGACAGAAGACCCATACAGAAAATTAGATGGGAGACCTCCAACTACCCATCCACACTGTAGCTCGAAGCTTCAGGCATGAGTTCTAAATGCTTTATGACCAAGGGATAAACTGCAATAGTGATCAAACACCTTCTGATAACCTTAGACTAGTCAGTCAGGGTTTGACAGATCAAGGTAATTTAAAAAAAAGAAAAAAGTTGCATAACAGAACATGACTCTAGAAAGGGCCTCCAATCGTTTACGGGTGGGATCCTTAAAGACCAGGATTTGTTAAGATGGAAATACTACCGTATACACAGAGGGGGCAGACCAAATTTTAATAGTCTTTCTTAGATTGATACAGGTTCTTTGGAGGTATAAATATCTTGCCAGGATGTTTCCAGTCTCCATAAAGGAAGACTGAAAACAGCTGGTGTACTGAAAAGTTTTGGAAGTCTTAGGAGCTTTAAAGAATCCTAGACTGGGGATAAAGCTGGTATAGGCCACATATTGATCCTCAAGGTTCAAAGTGGTGCATACTGCATCAATAGGAGTGAAAACCGCATTTTTTTAACTTTTGGAGTGATGGCAAAAGGCATTAACTCTTGAGAGACATTTTGGTCCATCAAGGACTACAGAGACTTGGCATCAGAGTCTCGGCGGCTGATGGCCTCTAGAGCTGCAGGCAGATTGAAGAATCTGAAAGGTAAGGCACAGTAGCACGCTTTTAGCCTCTGCAGTCAGAATTCACCAACATCTGTGTTTTTTGGTCAGTAAAATCCTTCTGGACTGTAATAGAATGCTTTTGGATAGCTCAGAGGAGATGGCGTTACTCGACGGAGCTAGAGAAAACTCCAAATATTGCATAGACTCTAGCAATGGGTAACATTCTGCATGTCAGCCACACTAGTAGGCACATTGCAAGCAGCACCGAAGCCATTCGTGGAATGTGAGCCTGAGGAGCCCATTACAGCAGGAGTTGCCCACCTGTATCTAGAAATAGACATGTTGCACCTGCAAGGCAGATAGGCAATGTAACTCGAGGAACTTGGCAAGGCATCAGGTACTCAAAACCCAACCACTGGTAGCAGGCTTAAATTCACACATCGAGGGATGATCAAGTTAAAGTAGGCAGATATTAGGAAGGAACCAAGCTTCTCTTGGCTGTTGCAAGCAGGAACAACAGTGGGAAAGTGTTTCCACAATGCTGAATGACAGGAAAGAGCATGCAGCAAGCACTCAACACAGCAGTGCTTAATCCCTTCTACTATAAACCATCAGGAAATGTGAAGTCATGCAGCAGACTAAACAATACATTAGCCTCCAGTGCTCAGTCTGCTCTTTAGAGACAGGGAAGTTGTTGAGGCAATGCTAGCAAAAAAGTTGGTGAGTTTAAGAAAAGATGTTCCTCCCTTAGGACACATGCAAATAACTTGAGGCATGCTAGTAGAGGGAGGGGTGATCTTGGGCTGGCTTACAATCATATTGCTAATGTCCAGGCCTCCTGTAGGTGGCAGTATAACCCAGCCATATGACTTTGACTCCTTCAGTAGATGAGAAAATTTCAAATTAATTTTTTTAGTCATACTCTCAACCCTGTGTCTTAAAATAGCTGTTTTTGAACCCATATTGGTCCTTATCAATAATAGTTGCTACTCTGTACAGACTACACTTTCAAAGTGGATGTTCTATTACACAGTGTTTGACAGCCTGTTCAAACTTTCTGTACACCATGGGTTCTGATATCCTGTATTTTGGATTTACACCTGCTTTCTGTTTTCTGTGAACAGGTGTTGGCTTTGTATGTTCACACAATGTTATATAAATAAAATAAATTAAAACGAATGGGGGGGGGGGGGGGGGGGGACCTTTTTTTGATTCATTAATATCTTTGCAGTGCTTTGTACCCAAATTATAATTTTAGTGTTATATTAAACAGGACAAATTAGTGAATAAAATGTATTTTCTTTTTACCTGTAACATTGTTTTTTTTTTTTTTTAACAAACACTGCTCAAAGCAGAAAAAAAGTTTTTTGTTATTGGCATTGTGTGTTTTTGTCCATGGATTGTATATAAAAATATTCACAAGATGAGATCACCAAAATGACAAATGTATTACTTTTGTTATCTTAATGCGGTTGAAAACTCTTACATATACCCAGTAAAGAGATTAAACAAATCTTCCTATAGATGTTGTACCTCTTTATCTGCAGCCCTCTGTCCTCTAAAGTTTTCCAAAATACACATTTTACACAGGGTCTCTCAGCTCTGAAAAGCAGGGGGGAGACTCCAAGGTCTCAGGACACTCCTTGACCCCTTCCTTACAGTACATGCTGATCATAGACTGTGTGCTGGAGCTCTGCTCCCCGTCACCAATTATATCTTGGGAGTCTGCAAAAGCTGTCAGAGAAGTGACCCATGCAGATAAAATGAGGCAGCAGAGAGTGCTTTGGATAGAGACATGTACATAGAAATGAAATATGAACAAAACACATCCTTCTATGCTAAGGTTTACAACCAGTTTATATAATGGTAAAATTATTGCCAAATAACCAGACCGATAGCAGAAATCTAAACATTGTTGTGCTTCATTGGAAGTATACATGTATGAGAGCTGAAGTGGCTAGAAACATACAAATGTGTTTCAGTTTAATTTTTTTTCTTTTTAACTGTGTACTTATTTCTATCCCATTACAGCCATGAAGATGTTGCTCTGAATTCTGAGACCACATTGAACGGGCCTGCATGACATAGCTCTTGCTGCTCCAAACTACATCTGGTGTGAGGCAGGACCTCTTACTCCCAGGGAACTTTATGCAAATGAAGAGACATCTGATTTGTTTGGAGAACTTTTTTCCTGAACTGCAGAATTGGGAATATTGTAGCTGTTGGAAATGTAAATGGCCAGGCTTTGACAGTATGGAAATCTGGCTGTAGGAGTGTATGTTAAACATAACCCCTATGGATGCTCTGACATGAATACTGCCTCGTGCTTATGCAGCTTCTTCCATAACCTTTTGTTGTCATAGCTATTCTCTCTATTGTAGAAGAGTAATGGAACAGCTGGAAAATGAGCATGGATGGGTTATTGGTGCATCCCTACCTGCAAACACCATAAGGCTACTTCCTTATTGTTTTTAGCAATAATTCCCCTCGTTTTATCACAAATGCTTTCCACGCTTGCAGATGTGAACCTATCCAGCTATATGGAACAGTTCATCAAATCACAAGCTGGTCCAGAGCTTTCCAGGAACACAGGATGCTGGTACAGATGGTCAACAGTCTTATTTCTGTTTCCATGCACTTTATCATGCAATTCTTCTCAAGCACCTTTTAATAATGAAATAGACATAATTTTTAATTCAATATGTAAGTGTTAATCTTGTTTGAAAAGTGATTGATTATTTTTTATGTTGGGTCTGCTTTGTTTTATCAGGAAATAGTACAGTCCATACCCAGAGATACCCAGATAGTTCATAAAAAGACATACTTTTGCAAGTATTGCTTTGCCAGTAATCATTGCAGCATCAGTGAAAACACGTTTACTTCCCAGTGCAAACAGCATAGTTACAGTTGTAGTAACATTCCCCTTGTCATGTGTATGTGATGAGAAAAAACCCAAGGGCAAAGTGAAAAAAAAGTGGATTATTGAGGTTAATGGGAAAAAGCAGAACATCAATGAAATTATGCATCTCTGAACTGCTTACAGTACCCTCCAATTAAATGCCACATTGAGCTCGTGGATGAGCTCAATGGATTCGTGATGGGAGAATTATATGTACAAAGGCTTTCTACTTAGGGTGGCTTTGTATCAGATGTGCACTGTATTAACCCTATAACTTATGTATGTGTTAGGGCTTCTTTGCACAGACGGCCAGGGGGCAGGCGTGACATTCTGTTTTGATATCCTTGCTTGTGCAAAAAAAAAAAAAACAGGCATTTAGGAGGTGGCAGTATCATGTCCCAAATGCCAAGTGGCCACTTCTGTACCACTCTCTGAAAAGTGATCCATGGTGAATCAGAGTGACCGCAAAGGCTGCCACCCATGTAAATGAGCTCTTAGATGTACGATTCAGGTGTTGGATACATTTCTCATTACATCAAATATTCATAGACGAGTAGCATTTTCCTTTACTGTATATTTACAGCGTTCTTCTAATTTTGAATTGGTGGAGGGTTGAGGTAGCCTTTTGTCCCATTCTAACTTGTTTAGAACCTGTATTGATAGACTTTATTGGTGGCATCAGTTTGAGATGCTTCTGAAATCATTCCGAATTCACTGACAGGTACTTTTCACCTGCAGTTGGCTTCCTTGGCCTCATGCACACTGGACATTTGGCCATCTCTTGTAGATACCTTTCCTGCTGGCAACAGCGTTTTGGCAGAAAAAAACACTTGTAAATGCATGGAATATGTTTAGGGGCGTCAAGCACTTTGGCATTAATTCATTTCATTGGCTATAATAATTTATTTTAATGGTCAAAATAAATTAATTCCCAAGTGCTAAATGTGCCTAGTGTTTACGTGTATTTACATGCATCAAGAGTTTTTTTCTATCAAAAAGCTGCTGCTCCTGGATGCTCTGGCAGTGGGTTTCTTTTTTTCTGCCTTCTAAACTCCTATGTGTGAATGGACACATAATCTAATATATAGGGACAGTTAGGGGCAGGAAAAACAGATGCCTGACGCTCCTATCAGCATTACAAACATCCAGCGTGTGTGAGACCTAACTCATTTCAGACTTGTTTGGAAATGGAGGACTGGTCTGATGCAAAAAAAAAAGCCTGTCTGCACAAACCCATAATCCCTTGTTAAGTATTTGCAGGCCCTCTCCATCAGTGCTTCCATTAGCCTGGATTTCAGGACTTTCCATAGATTCTATGGGGTTTATGTATGTGATGTTAGATCTGACAAGGCACTGGACTGTTTGGTCCACCTTCATCATTACAATAAAGAGGGAAGGGGCTGAGCTTCATATCACCAGTGACTGGTAAATGTATGAAATCCTTTGCCACATTTCTGCTGTTGCAGTGGTGTACAGTTAAATGTAAATGTACAGTGTAGTAAAAATGTAGATGGGAAGATCAGCTCCTCCATACATCCACCAGCGTACCTGAACTGTACTGAAGTCTAGAAGCTGCAGGTCAGCAGTACTCTGTGCGGGACTACAAATTGATGGAAAATGACAAATACATAGTGCATTTTATCTTCATCAATACATGCATGCTGAAATTCTACAGCGCTGATATGCCGTAAGTAGCCCTTAATCTTTTCATCATCTCTGCAGTAGATTCTGGTTTTCTCTTATTTTTTTTTCATTTATCATTTTAAAAGGCTAAAAAAAAATATATGTAAATTGTGGGTTTTTTTAATTGTATTTTTAAGGCTTGGATAATAATGTGATTAGTTTTCATACATTTATAATTGAAGGCAGCAACATGTTTGTTACACATAAAATATTTTTTTTTTTTAAGCTTGTAGCCATTTGCAAATATTAAGCACAAATATTTTTAAAATTTGGTCAGCTTATTTAATGACTTCTAAGCAAAATTGCCATTTGAGGATCAGTTGGGCCCTGCCATATCCCAGTACTACTGACTCACATGGCCAGGTGTTGGGTTAATTTATTGTAGTTTGCATCTCTCGTTTTCTTTTTTTTTTTTTTTTTTAATCTTTTCATACAGATTTCTCCCACTTATGAAAAACTGCATTTACATACAAAGAGCAAATTCTAATAAGACCCTTAAAATTTGAATGATTTTGGCAATGTGTGGAATGAGAAAATATAGTCAAGCTTAGGAGCTGACATTTAGAAAGTCTGAAATTAATTTTTGTTTAATTCCGGACCATACTGTTCTTTTCATTCAGTGCAGTGAAAGCACAGCAGTACAGTTTACAAGTAGTAATTTTAGGATACATGCATATAACTGCATGGCAGCGTTCTGTGGCTAAACTGTCATCTAATTTACTGCTGGCTAATGTTTCTGCTTCGGAAGTAGATTGTGTGCATGCCCCTATACAGTGCATCTTTACTTTTCAGCTGCAACTTGCCAACACAGGATCGCCCAAATTGTTGTAACAACTGGATGTGTTGCTTAGAGCACCTAGTTTATTTGCAAATTCATTTTTTGTTACAGCCTATTTGTAAAAATTACAGCTAGAAACAAATGCATTGACCTAAATTTTGTCACAGAACTGATTGGATATTCTGTGACAAAGATGAATCATGGTCTGTTAAGCCCTTTTGGTCTGAGATCGTATGTTTGAATTGCCAAAGTGTTGGAACACGAATGATTGTTGGAATAATAAGCAATTTTATTCACTGCAAGTACCTATTAATCTCTTTTATATTGTTAGAATTTTTGACTCCCAAGTTGTTACCATTACAATCGAAGATTTCTATACTGGCTCTATCGTGCATCCTGCATATTTAAAGCTGAACTCCAGGGATTAAAAAAAAAAACGTACACTTTGACTAGTTATATATGTGATTAAAGCGGAATGTATATAATCTTGATAAAAAAATAATGTTCTTTAGCAAGGGTCATACATTCCACATTAATATATATGTCACCAAAATTAGTGTGTGCTTTAAATTGCCTCTAGCATGGTTCCTGTTTCTTCTGGCAGAAGGCTGCCATTTTGCTGAAGCCCAGAACTCCTGAGCAGCAGCAAATCTTCAGGCTGTCAGCAGATTGGCCTCTAGTGACTCTGATTTTTGACACAGTGCCGACCAATAGAAAGAAGCTGAACAGGGTGAGACAGTTTATTACTGAATTTTAAACAGTATAGGCACTTATTTTATTTATTTTTTTTACAAGAAGATCCAGTAAAGCTTTATTTATCAGTCAGAATACTATAGCAAAAGTGATGATACAAAAATTTAACAAAGATGGAACTTCAACCATCCCACAGAGATGTCCATGGGCACTTATTTTTAATGTTTTACATAGCTATACCTGCAAAACGGGCTAGCCTGAAGTGATCTAGCAGGACCTAAATTTCCACAAATTGATCAAATGCATTTTTAATTTCAGAAATGCTGAAGAACCTGTTCTTGGCGACAGTGCTGCTTTAAAGCAACCCTGTCACAAATGTAAAATGACACGAGCTATGCCTGCAAGGAGAGTAAATTCTTGCCTCTCCTGCTGACACTCTTGGAAGCAAAAATGCACACACCCTGAACCCGAACCCTGTTTGATGCAGTAGAGAAAAGTAAGGTTGCTGGTTTGGCTGTGCTGTCTGTCAAGAATCAGAAGAAAATCTTTGGCGGCTGAGACCGCTCTGATATGTAAGTCATCTGTAAATTGCTGTCTGCCTGGAATTCAACTTTAAACACTATTTCAATACTTAGAGTGGAACTTCATTCTGTCAACCAACATTGACTATTTTAAGGCCTTATGCTGCTAGCATTAGTAAATAGATAGGCATGTATATAAAATGTACTTGTTTGAAACTATTTTTTATGTTTCTTCAGTTACTTCCTGATTTCTTGCCTAGGCAAATGGTGTAATACATCCCAGGAGTCTTCAGAAGGGGAGGAGGGGTTTTCTCAGCTAAGCACACCCTCCTGTTTGTATGGCTGAACTAAGGGCAGATTGATTCCAGGAAGTCAATGCTACATGAATCATCTGCCCTTACTCAAGATGGCTACAGCCAGCAATGCTCAGCAACATAAAGCATGGAAACATGGATGGATGGGGGAGTTTGCTTTGAATATTAAAAATGAATTTGCTTTGTGGTGCTCAG